GAGAGAGCGCTACAGATGAGAGAGCACCAGACAACAGCCTGATAAGAGAGCTCGTTCGCTGCAGCTCGAGCAGCTTACTTTGCAAGGCCCAAGCGCTCTTGTCGGTTGGTTTCCGTGCACGTGAACGCCACATTTGTGATTGTCCTCTAGGGTTCTATACTTCAGACCGAAGAGAAGCGTTCACACGACCTCTGCCTGGGTTGTGCCTTTAAAGAATATAGGATCAAAATGCGCTTTACACCTACAGTAACCTAATATAGAATAGCGAAATCGAGTACTGTTATCATGTTCGTGACGTAATGGTTGTTAGGACACAACTAACCACCGCCACGAGTGTCCCATCCTACAACCTCCAAAGTATACAAAAGACGTTAGGGTGTTGTAAAATTCGCTTCCACTTTTACTTTACTCCCACTTCTAACCAATCGCAACACTTCGGGCGTGCATGTGTCATTCTATATATTGTGCTTCCTCGCTCATTCCCTCTCCGCTCTCAGTATGTCATTGCCTTCCCTCAGCAGTATTACAAATACATATGTATGTATAAGTCCTCACACTGGCGAGCTTTAACCAAACATTCTTTCAGTCTACCAATCCAAATCACACCCCTATTTACTGTCTTACACAATGATCACATCAGCTCGATGATGAGTTGTGTCTTTCTACTCTCGATCCCTCGATATGAGCTGGGCTCAGAAGGGTTTTGTATGACGCTACTAGTTCCCTGAGTGCGAACATCGTGTCATGCTCGTCTTGCAAAATTTTCTAGTTTCGGTCATACAGAGGCCTACATTGAAGTTATGAAAGTATCGAATGTGTCAATTGATGTTCAGGTGCCGATTGTCCAAAAGAGATGACTAAGTGCTGGATGTTCACAAAATCTCTTTTTTGACCACTTTTCCATGTAGAATGTGTGCGCCTCTAAACACCACATCTGTTTTATAGAGCAGTTCTGATTTGCGCCTTAATCCAAAGAAGTTGTGGATAGTTGCTTCCAGAGATAAGCAGAAATCAGCAGTACACTAGTAACCGATTTGAAGTATGTCCTTGGGTATGTAGAGCAGCGTTATAAGAAGCGCATCTTTATTGAACACAACTAAGGTATAATTCAGTGCCTAACAATAATTGTGCAATCATTGGTAGGGATGTACCATAAACTTGATTATTCTCTCGGGTTATTACCAAGGGATGTTCCGAATCCCACGAACTCATGCTTGTTGAAAACTGCTGAGTCCTGTGTACCTCAGTACTCTTGAATATAATTTTCGCTCATATTTTCCGTTGTTTTTTTCCAAGACGAAATTCGCAGATCGGTGTTGAAAGCCGCATATAAGAACAGTTGGCAGCAATTTTGCGGCTACTAAAAGCTTCATTGTCATGTAAAGGGTCGTTCGTTGAATGCCACAACGTCTACGTGGGCGTTGAATGCTACAACGTCTATGTGAGTCTCTCGTATCTTGGAAGCAGGATGTTTAGCCCCAGTATTGCTCGAACAACTTAACACGTTGACAACATCGCGCGTTTTGGCTTTTTTGCCGCGTGGGAGAGCGATTCTGCGAGCGCCGCCGCCTCACAACAAATCTGTGGATTTTGAGCTGTAAATACGCAAACGAATGCGGCAAAATGTTTGATGATATTCGATGTGTTAAAGTGATCGGACATTACGACTGTGAAAGTTCGTTCAAAATGACGTGTTATGGACATGAAAAGGGGACATGGGTTCCAAAATTATTTCAGTCGTGGTTGTTTAGTGAAAACACATATCTTGCCACACGACTAGGTTTGTATTCACTTCTAATATTCTTTTTTATCTACATGTTCACGTTAATGAAAAGAAAATGAGGAATGAACTGAACGGATATTTTCGTAAGGTCCGGGAAAACCTCTGCCAAGCAAAAGAATATATGACCACTTGCTAGCCACGTCGACCTTTCTGGATGTATGGGATACACACAAAAACATGGGAAGAAATCGGCCATGTCGCAAAAAATAAATGTAATGGGTGTGGCATACATAGTTGCCACAATGTCCGATGAGGTGCAAAAATGGCGGCATACGTACATAGTTGCCGCGCTGTCGTCAAGGTGTTGAACATCCAAATCTACTACTAGTCTTCTACGTTGGTGGTAATCAGAGAGTGTCTAGTATAGCCGTTTAGGCTCGAATGGTCCTTTACCGAGCTTTCTTTTTTCTTCGTGCCTCATTTATTATGGTACAAATAATATATAGGGGTAGAAGTACTTTCCTCATGACGTGTTCCAGCAAACTTTCACTCGCACAGTTTGCAATGTTGCAGCCGCACGACTTCCTCAATCGTCTAATTGTTTATAGCTTCTAAAAAATGATGACTTTGTCCATGGCGTGAAGCAGCTCTTTTTTCGCCACCCTCTATGTCACTAGTGGAGCCTGCTCTTTCTGTTAACGAACTTCTTTCGCTGATCTGAAAAGGTCAGCTTTCACGTATTTATTGACATTTTCTACATTTCCAAAACTAAACGATCCGCGACACGATTTCAAAGTTTTATGTGGAGAGCGTCTTTTGCGCAGTTCTGTTAAACTTTATGGTGCTGTTAGCACAGAGTAACTGCCTTGTGAGTAATACATATTGGAAAGCTTCGTACAATCACGAACATAACTTAAAGAAGACAGTCCACGCAACTTCTAGCAATCTGTCGAGATGTCCATGTTTCACAGTCAGTTGGAAGAACCACATAACCTGCATCATTCAGAATTTGTTAATCGATATATACTAATAGCCAAATGAGCATCATATAGGTCTACTGTTCATTCACTACCTCTCATATTTTCCATTATGAATTCCATCGTCATTGAAAGTTGCGTAGTATATTTTCATCTCACCTTGTTTATGGAAACTGCGAGATAAGTTAAAGTTAGTGTTGGTCGTTTGAGGTTAGGATACACTGTCAAAACTGCAACACCGTCACCTTTACTCTGCAAGGTAACATGAGTAGTAGTTGTATCATTGGTACTATTTGAATTCTATGTAATTGTGATATAAGTGAACAGCACTTGCTGGTAACACACCATTTTCTGGCGGGTTGTTCTTTTCGATTAATAGTTGAAGAAAAGGCATTAACCCTCTTCCAGGATAAACAATGGCCGGTCCACGAAATCCACATGTCTCTTTTATGTTTTTTACAAAGACGACAGAAGACACCACAGGAAGAAGTAGTATTGCTATCGTTAATATAGCCATACGATGGAGACTTGAAGAACAGAAGGAAATTGCAAAGAATTGGAAGCTACTGACTACTCTAACGTTGTCACCCTTTTAAATGCATCTTGTTCTACAAGCCGTGCAGCATTATCCAGAAATTTGTCATAGCGATGTGCAAAAATTTTATGGTAACCGATCACAAATCGCCTTAACAAAACACAAAGGGCATCCATACCGAGGTGCCCTTCGTGTTTTCATCATTTCGGCCTAAACCTAGCGTTACAACATTCAATATTCAACAAGTGATGTGGGCAAAGAGGGACATACGACGGTTTCCTTGTGCGAATATTGTCCAAAATTAATCGCATAAATGAGCGTTGAGAGAGTAACACGTATCTACAGCATGTCCAAAGTTTTGTGGCCAAGCGCTGTCCCATGGAAACGCCATGTAGTAGAATCTTCTAAAGAAATAACATCATTTCTCGTTAATCACCAGCTCGTTCTTGTTTGATACAAGGTTGGTTATCTATCTCATATCTACAGCGGCGTTCGAAAACGAATCATTTTAGGATATTCGTGATGGGAAAAATGAATTTGCCATCACCCAAAAGGGGCCAGCAAGGGAAGAAGTACAAGAGTGATATAACATAGTATGAGAGGACTTGGAACGAAAGAGTTCCATGATCTCGAGAAACTTAAGACCGGGAAGAAGAGAAGGAGACGTTATCGAAGCCGCTAATGCAAACTTCGGGAGGAGTATCAGCGTTGCTACTTTTAATAATTTGAACCTAAAGGTACCAGCGTATACAGAAGTAGCATGAATCTCACGGACATCATGATAGAGTTGAATGAATTTTGAGCAATAATGAGGACTCTGCATAGCGGCTTGAACCATCCCGGTCGTTCAGACCGCATTTCGCCTGTGAAAATAAGAAGAAAGTTGAGAAAGATTTTCGACGACAAAAGTACATGTTCAAAAGTGGGTTGAGTCTCATTGCTATAACCAATACAAGGAAGGGCAATCTAGAAAGTTCGACCTCTCAGTTTCTTCTTCTCAAAATCAACTTCGGAAATTCAGTATTCCCAAGCAACTTTTACAGGCTTCGTACTGCAGCACTTCAGACTGACATCAGTTTCAACTGATCGCATTATTTCCTTGTTTCGTCCATCCAATACACTTTACTTATCCACAACCTATACCGATGAACGTCTATGCTCAGACGAAGAGAATTAACAAAACCACCACGGGAACAGCTCGCCAGGCAACAGCTAGCGATGATTTGTGGAACGCTAGAACACGCGGAGAATTTCGAGATGGCTTTATTGAAACAGGAAGGATTTCTTGAGTGAATTGGTTTGCATTAGCTGGGGCCATAATTTCTGTGACAAACTGGCTGAATTTTGATTTTATTATTTTATTATTGATTACATCCATCAAGTATAATACACACCCTAATTATCCACAACCTATTGCCAACGTGCTAGAAGCTGCTCCTATTCAAAAAAACCCGGAAGGCCCGACCTGAACAAGGATGAACTTCACGCCAAATTCCCAAATCCTCTCAGCAACATTATTGCTGCTTGTTACTTCGTAAGCACACTGCACCCGCTCCTCGTCGCCGGCACATGATGGACGATTAGCCGGAGGAATCACGGTAAGTCAAGTCAAACATACGATATAGGTTCGCGTTTGGAGCTGATTCAGAATCAAGACATGTGGGATCCAAACTCAGCATTCCCACATCTTTACAAGTCTTCGGAGATGTCTCAGTACTGTCACTTTGTCGGATGAGAATTGCTCCGAGCGATGATCGATATCCAGATCTTTTTCAAAAGCGTAATGCGGATGGTCGTTATTGCCACTAGCGGGGTGGTTGTGCATCACCTTCAAATAAAACGAGTCAACGCTGAGCAGAGTGGCGCAGAGGCACCGTGTATTGAGGGAGCATGCCGGCGCATCTATTCTGCTTAGCCCTCGATGCAACCTGACTTGCGGAAGATCCCAGCGGCTCGTGAAAATCATGGGCACGAAGAGTGTCGGTGTAATAACCATAGCAAGGAGCGAGACAACGAGTGAGCCGAAATTGCAAAGGTGGATTTTACGTCATCAAAACATGTTGTAGAATATTATTATTATTAATTTTAGTCAATAAATGTAGATTGTTGCAGGAATTATAGACCAACCTTATAGATACTGAGCGTCAAAGCACCTTATCGGCGCGGTTCAATAAATAACAGCTTAAATAGAGTAATAAAGTCAATCACAAAAATAGCGAAATAGCACATTAACAGCTTAAATAGAGTAATAAAGTCAATCACAAAAACTACATGGGGTAATAGAAAAGGAGAAAATCGAAGAAGTTTCGTCACCGTGTGATGTTTAATCAACTTCTGCTCACCCTGCATAGAGCAAATCGCTGCCAAACGCTACTGCTTTCATTAATGGAAATACCAATCTGCGGCGCACCCGAAAACTGATTCCTCGACGGTGAATGATCTATATGGCAATGGAATCATTGAATCTTCCTTACTCGAAGGGAGATTCTCTTCAAAACAGTGCGCGAAAGCCATGCGGCTCGTCGACTGAAGCATTGCTTAGAAGTCGTGACGCTCCTTAATTACTTACTGTGCATGCAATCTGCTGTTTAGTTCTACACCTTGCACAATGCATCTTCAGGTAAATTTTTATCAAGTACGAACTTGTTAAGAGAATCTTGTGCAATTGTGAAGCGCAGCAAAAATTCCTTGGCTATTCACGCTGCTTCTTTGCGTATTTTGAATTCGGATGAACTGAGTGCAAGTCGATAAAAACTCCTGTCCGTTCTGTACACAATGTCTTTTTAAGCTTGAGCGTTGCGTGCCACTGCTCATTCTACAGCTGAAAAAGTCGGGAGGGTCATCTAAGGTGGAATAGCGGAGAGGGTGAGATGCACGTCAACCGAACCAATCACATGCTTGCACTTGTGCACACTACATTAGTGATCTTATGTGCTCGTAGCAAGTATGCCAAAGCCACGCCGGAATGATTCTCGACAATATCAATTACCTTACCATTAGTTTTATGAGCTGTTGGTTGCCTTTTACGAGATGTTCACACTGCAGGATCCGCGCACCCTCATCCTTGTTAGCGTTGCTTTATTCTTTTGACTATCTTATCTTAGCATTTCATTTTGCGAATGGACAGACTAACCGATACACCGAAACATCGACATGCATACGACACTAACCATAAGTTGGCGCTAGGTATAATGAACTAGCAAGGTGCTGCAGTGAAATACGAAGTGAATAGTCCGACGTTCAGGTTCTCACCAGGAAGGTCTTTCAGGGCGTGACGAAGCTTTTTGAAAACGGTCTTTTGCATGATATAGGGGCAGATGCGGGAACCACAGAACCATGTTTAATTTTTCCTGAACGGCCCTCTGAATACCAGAAAAGGAGGTCCCTAGTTCGATTCCTCGTGGTAACAAATTTTTGCATTTCGAGTTGACGTGCCAAAATTCGCGCAAAATGGAGTTAGAACCAACCAGAACAATCAGAACTCCATTTTGCGCGAATTTTGGAACGTCAACTCGAAATGCAAAAATTTGTCACCAAGAGGAATCGAACTAGGGACCCCCTTTTCTGGTATTCAGAGGGCCGTTCAGGAAAAATTAAACATGGTTCTGTGGTCCCCGCATCTGCCCCTATATCATGCAAAAGACCGTTTTCAAAAAGCTCGTCACGCCCTGAAAGACCTTCCTGGTTAGTCCTATAGGCTTACGGAGTGGTAGGCGCGAGATAGACAGCGGAGCTGAACTGGTACTCATCATAATTCTGTGAAAATCCGCTACTTGTATTGAATTCAGTCAGTATAGCTGTCGAATTGCTGGTCTCAAGAAATATTAGAAGGAGAAAAATGGGCTCATTCGCCGAACATCGATACTTATCCAAAGAATGTTCTATTTTAAAATACGCTGAGCTTAGTGCGCTTACAATGATATTTCTAGATAATTGATAGTGTCTAATATTATGAGCGCATCAATAATTTGGCCATGATATCTGCACATCCGTCACCGAAATGTAGCAACTTTCACTGCAAAGAGAGTGCGAAGTTGTTAAGATTTACATTCGAGAGCCGTATATCAGTACTTGTCAGTCATTAACACTTTGGAACGTCACCATCTGGGCCTTTATCCAGCCCCCTATTCCACACGTCGAAACTTTTTTTCCACTGTTACTGCAAAGGGCGCAACAAATTGGTGGTTCTCACGTCCTAGCCCCTTTATACTCATAAGAGTTATTAATATTTGTACTCCACCCACATCCCGTCTCCGTCATACGTACCTGTCTTTTGCCCCCTATAACACTTGTAAACCTGGATTATTACCTTCAGAATTCACTCGCGCGTCTGGAAGGCTGCGCTATCTATTTAGGTTGTCTCATAAACAGTGTCGCTTTTTTTCAACCAAAAGATTTTCATCTGAACCCCCATGCTTTTACATCGTGTTACATACCATACCGTCGAAAGAGAATTGTCTGCTCTACAAGATGCTATGTTTCTCTTCCAACTTCGTCGCAGGGCTTTCAAGTTTTAGGTCCTGCGAAATGGGAGCTCCAGCCGACGAAAATTGACCACCAAACCGACAACTAGCTCTAACTTTATTTCCCCTGGGAAATCAATCAATGATGTACCCTCTACTTACTCATGACCTCTTCTAAACATTCCACCCTTAGGTTGCCGAAAAAGCTTTGCCGTGTTTCTTTTCGAATTGGCTGACCGATAAGCCATAGCAATTTTCAAATTGAAATTGTTCCTCGTAAACGTCCGCCATTGTTTCATATCGAGTGGTGTTCCTTTTGTGAGCACTTCTTGTTGCCTATTCGCGTAATA